AGGACTGACACCGTAAATCATCACGTCTCTTGGGTATAGCAGGCAGGTAACTGTAAAAAACTGCTGCTGCATATTGCATATATAACATCTGCTAGATGCTGAATGTCCCGTTGTCACAATCATTTTGCTGGAAGCAAAGGACACGTGCAGGTGCAAAGACCAAACAACGCTAACAGGGAATAAAAGGTTATGGCCCGAGGACTGAGTCAGACCATCGCCAAGAACAGTTTGGGTGCTTCTGATAAACGGCTGCTGCCATTTGTTCATTCGAAGTTCAGAACCACAGGATGTAGACGGCCTGAAGCAACGTCTTGGTTGCGGAAACACAGACCTTCAAAAGTCGTACCAAAATCCACCCCTTAAACTTTGGCAGATCACAGGTTTCTTGGCTGCACATGATGGACCTAGCTTATTTGGCAAGTTGTTGTAATGTTGTCTCCTCATTTTCAGTACTTTAGTAACCTGGTTGGGTTAGAGAACCATAGCAAACCACATCTTTTGTAAGAGATTGGTGCACATTGTTCAAGAATTAACAACTGGACACAAAATTGTCTTGCAAAACCAAGAGTGATACACTGTTTCTGCTATAGATGTTATTTATATTTTCCAAGACTATTTCACCGATAAAGTATGACAAACTTATATTTGTTGGTCTTTTAATGTTCTACTAATGCAGAGCGAGGGACACAAAGCCACGACATGCTTATAATGCACTTTGAAAACCTCTGAGCACACATGCTAGCAATAAAAGACACAAAGAGTCATTAGAGGAAATCAATTAAATGAAGACAGATTCTGATGTTTCATACATGTCAAACGTATCAGACTGAACACGGCACACACACTTTATTTCACAGGTTCTAACATGAAAGTCATTCATATTCATGCACTGAATTTGTCAACAGTACTTTGGCAAAAGACAAATATTTTGAAGGAAATCCTACATAAAGCAAATTCACTATGTTCAGCTTTGCACTATTTTTTTCTAGCAGTAAAATTCTTAATATGCAAATGATGTTCAGCTTTGAGCGTGTTGTTGCTGTCATACTTTCCTGTATCTGAATGTGTTTCAGACTGTGTGACAGCAGCTCAGATGTGCTGTCTGATTCGTAGTTTACTCCAAAGGAGGAAAACCAGTCAGTAGTGACACAGTTTGAGATGATGGCTAACGGTAGTGTGAAGTGCTAAAATCAACAATAAAGTCCAAGTAACGACGAGATAATGACTCATGCTTCTCTTTGTTATCATCACACTGTCATTGTTTCATAACCTTCACTGAAAGTCACCTGACACAAACTGCTGTGGGATGCTGAGACTGTGGATTCCATGTGCTTGGTATGATTTTGGGAACAGGAGGCAGTGTCCTCGCTGCTTTCCAGCATGGATGACCTGTCAATCAACACCGTGCTCTGCAAGTCATATAGCTTGGATGAGGTCAGCGGTGTGACTTCATAGCATCAGCATGACCTTTTTTAATGGTTACTGCAGAATTCAAACAGGCTACTGAGTTATGATCACAATGTTGTGTTTTCATGCTGCTAATTGTGTCTTTCTTTAGAGAGAGGTGCTGCCGCCAGACACACAATCAGTAGATAATGCCTCTGCTCATTACAGTTTTTGTTTTGGTCCCTGATCCACGGCACAAATATAGAAGATATATAAGATGCTGCCATAGTTCAAGAAACATTTTGTAAAAAGTAAATAGTTACAAATCGGGGATATGGGAGCTGCGGCAAAAAGAAACAAAAGTGAAGGACGACCACGAACCAAACTCACAACGTGCTTCCGGCTTCTCCTGTAAACTAACATCACTAAACTGCTAACCTGACACAACCAAGAACTGGGCTACTTCCACATGAGTTAAATCGAGGTACTACCAACACGTCGAAGCGTATTTGTATTATGTCTCTTGTACAGAGTGTATGTGCAGATGTTGATTCCTGCAGTGAGCGTAGAAATCATCAGAAGAATTTTTAGAGAAATTGTTCGCTGTGCTTGTTTTTGTGAAGGATCAAGGTTAGTATTTGCTCTTGGATCACACACACACACACAAATATGTGTTCTTGTTTTCTGTGTCAGGTTAAACCTGTCCAAGACTTCACACTGCTCCATCCTCCCTCCCCCGAAGCCCTCCAAAGTCCACCTTTCTCTCACCCCCTCTTCTACTAAAAAGCTGAGACAAAGTTCCTCTACCACCACTGCTCCGCAGATCAGGAGGTTGGTGTCTGTGCTTTTGTTCCTTATTAGAAGAACATTATAATAAAACCAATATAAAATGTGATGTGCTGATGTCTCCACAGTCCCTTCAGCCTCACTTTGTTTAGCACTAGGCCAGCACTGATTCACTGACTTCACACTTGGGACGTTCTGGTTATGAATCAGCCCAGCTGATGATGGACTCGCTGGAAACTGGATCAGCCCTCTTGCACGTTTAATAGGCTGTAAATCCTTTTTTAGCCCCAATAACTACTTTTCGTTTTGATAGACAGAGCCAACAGTTTGTCACCACTTTAACTGGTCACGTGGCCCATTCTGTGATGAACAGGCGACACCATAAATCATCACGTCTCTTGGGTATAGCAGGCAGGTAACTGTAAAAAACTGCTGCTGCATATTGCAGTATATAACATCTGCTGATGCTGAATGCTCCCGCTGTCACAATCATTTTGCTGGAAGCAAAGGACACGTGCAGGTGCAAACACCAAACAACGCTTACAGGGATAGGTTAGGCCCGAGGACTGAGTCAGACCATCGCCAAGAGACAGTCTGGGTGCTTCTGGTAAACGGCTGCTGCCATTTGTCCATCCGAAGTTCAGAACCACAGGATGTAGACGGCCTGAAGCAACGTCTTGGTTGTGGAAACACAGACCTTCAAAAGTCGTACCAAAATCCACCCCTTAAACTTTGGCAGATCACAGGTTTCTTGGCTGCACATGATGGACCTAGCTTATTTGGCAAGTTGTTGTAATGTTGTCTCCTCATTTTCAGTACTTTAGTAACCTGGTTGGGTTAGAGAACCATAGCAAACCACATCTTTTGTAAGAGATTGGTGCACATTGTTCAAGAATTAACAACTGGACACAAAATTGTCTTGCAAGACCAAGAGTGATACACTGTTTCTGCTATAGATGTTATTTATATTTTCCAAGACTATTTCACCGATAAAGTATGACAAACTTATATTTGTTGGTCTTTTAATGTTCTACTAATGCAGAGCGAGGGACACAAAGCCACGACATGCTTATAATGCACTTTGAAAACCTCTGAGCACACATGCTAGCAATAAAAGACACAGAGTCATTAGAGGAAATCAATTAAATGAAGACAGATTCTGATGTTTCATACATGTCAAACGTATCAGACTGAACACGGCACACACACTTTATTTCACAGGTTCTAACATGAAAGTCATTCATATTCATGCACTGAATTTGTCAACAGTACTTTGGCAAAAGACAAATATTTTGAAGGAAATCCTACATAAAGCAAATTCACTATGTTCAGCTTTGCACTATTTTTTTCTAGCAGTAAAATTCTTAATATGCAAATGATGTTCAGCTTTGAGCGTGTTGTTGCTGTCATACTTTCCTGTATCTGAATGTGTTTCAGACTGTGTGACAGCAGCTCAGATGTGCTGTCTGATTCGTAGTTTACTCCAAAGGAGGAAAACCAGTCAGTAGTGACACAGTTTGAGATGATGGCTAACGGTAGTGTGAAGTGCTAAAATCAACAATAAAGTCCAAGTAACGACGAGATAATGACTCATGCTTCTCTTTGTTATCATCACACTGTCATTGTTTCATAACCTTCACTGAAAGTCACCTGACACAAACTGCTGTGGGATGCTGAGACTGTGGATTCCATGTGCTTGGTATGATTTTGGGAATTTAATGACCAAAACATCAGAAATAACTGAGGCGACTCTATAAGGGAATCCCCTCTGTTGACACTGTACTGAGTCAAAAGTATAAGGAACTGAGTTACATGGATTACCTGCATATATACTGACCTACGTATATGAAACACTACATGTCTGAAACAGTACTGTACGTATATTACCAAAATAAGGAAAAGCATAATAGGGCCTCTTAAATTAAAATCCTGGCTGTATGTAGACCTTACTGTAGTTAAGTTAAATAGGTCCTCTATAGTATCCAAATCATTGTCTGGTTGGGACACTTATTGTACTGTCAGGTGCAGAGATGGGATTACTTTTAATCTGATTACTTTTTTCAAGTAAGAGTAAGTAAGGATTACTATTGCAAAAACGGTAATTAGATTACTGTTACTTTCCCGTAGGAACGCTGCGTTACTGCATTACTAAAACCGTGATTTTTTTGCGAGAGTGTCTCATGACAGTGACGTAAGCGAGCGCAACGTTCGTGAGCAACAGCTGTGTGCAGATCAACAATGGATAATATATCGAGTGCAGAGAGTATGAGCGTGCAGCGTTTAAAGCGTGGAAGTACTGACCTTACTTTGAGTTTGATTCCAGTAAAAAGTGACAAAAACATTAGTGTCCGTTGTTCCTGCTGGGAAGAAAACTTTTTTTACAGCGAAAAAAACCCCTAAACTCCGAGCAAGCACCGACGTGCGCACCACGGAATGTGACATTCACAGAGAAACTGGCGTATCCTTCCACTGACCGCTGCAGCACACCTGCACCAGGGCAAACCTCCGCCTGCCCCACTCCTGCTATACAGGTGAAAATAGAGC